ATCAGGATGGATGGTGAAGAGATTGAGATTGTACACAGCTTTAGTTTGCTTGGCTCCATGGTCAACAGTCTTGGCACCAGCAGCCAGGAAATGAAAAGGAGCATTGCCATGGGAAAGTCTGTTGTTAGGGACCTCTCCAAAGTACTGAAGAGCAATGGTGTCTCTCTGGAGACTAAGATGCGTCTGATACAGGCCATGGTCTTCACAATCACTTGTTATGCATCAGAGAATTGGACAATGACCAAGGAGGATAGAAGGAGAATTGATGCCTTTGAGCTGTGGTGCTGGAGAAGAGTATTGAGAATACCATGGACTGCTAGGAAAACAAACAGATTTGTCCTGGAAAGGGTTAAACCGGGTGGCTCCTTGGAGGCAAGGATTCTGAGGCTCCATCTAACATACTTTGGACATGTTGTGAGAAGAGACCGGTCCTTGGAGAGGGACATCATGCTTGGGAGGGTGAAGGGACAGCGCAGGAGAGGAAGGCCCTCTATGAGGTGGATTGATTCAGTGACTGGGATAATTGGGATGGGAGTGTCAGGGACAGTGCGATTGGCACAGGACAGAGCAGAGTTTAGGGCTGTTGTACATAGGGTCGCTGTGAGTCGCAAGCGACTCGACGGCACATAACAACAACAATCACAATCACCAGAGTTCCTGGGAAAAAGGAAGGCTTTAAATGAAGAAAAACTTGAGCTGATTTCTAGAGGTATATTAAGAGAAAGGAGTGAAGGAATTGAAGAAATAGAGGCAAAGAAAACAGACAAGTGAAGGGAAGAGGAAAGAGATGGGGAAAGAAATGGGAGAAGAAAAGGATACCATAATTCATTACTACATTGGTGGAGTTTATCTTTCAATATGACTTTCCTAGCCATTGAATTTGACTTTGCATTGGAAATGGGTGGACATATGCAAATAGGGTGTCTTAGTCTATTCATAAGGGGATTGGCTAGTCTCACCAATTTACAAGGGGATTGGCTAGTTTTGCTATTAAATTGAGTGGATCCAGTGGCAGAAAGATGAAACCTCACTGCCAGGAAAAAAACAAGCAAGACTAACGGCAGTAGCAGCCACTGTGGAAAAACAGAAACCTGACATGGGATGGGACTTTGAGACTATTACACTGTTGGAGCCGGAGCTAAAGACCTTTGTCCAAGTTTGCTGGACAACTGATGGTGGTGAGAGCCAATATTGGCAGGACTGAGAACTTTGCAACATGGGCCTAAAGCCGTGAGGCTCAAGGCTGAGGTGCCTATGAGCATATTTCAGTTCAGAAGCTATCCTGACTGTATTCTGCTATTACCCTGGATTATAACCTTTTGACTTTCCCAATATGGTTCTGTGTGGTCTGTGAACTATTGCATTGGATCTTAGACCCAGTTAAGCAGTAAGATTGGTGTTGAGATGAGTAGAAAGAGGTACAAGAGCTTGAGGAACATGTCTCACTTTACAGGAATAGGTTTTGGTTGTTGACGCTGTTGATGGGAACAGTTCCCCTCTGTGAATCTGGTAAAGGTCAGATATAGCTGTCCCCATGTAGCTCATTTTTACACAACCCAAAAGCATGCAGTTTGAGTCCACTAGTTTCTGTGAGGAAGTAAGATGACAAGCTCCCCCTGTGCAATTTATGGTCACTTAAATCTCTCTGGAGGGCCAGCTATGAGTCAGTTCTGACTTTACAGCAATTAGTTTTGTGATTACCTAGGAGGGTAGGTTCCAGGTGATGAGGTCTCTGTAAGTGTGGACACAGACATACTGAGATATTTGGAGAAGAGAGCCATTCTAACATTACTACAGGAAACTGTCCATTGGGAAACCTGGACTTCACTAAGACTTTGAACTTAGTGATGATTAATCTAAGTTATAAAGTTCAAAACAGAGAGATTGGACTTTCCATGTGTAAGAATTTGGCAACCTAAATTTGATCACACCAGTATCCTCTGTAATAACTTAACTTCTCCTTCCCCAAATTATTCTTATCCTGATACTGAAATGAGAGAATATAAGCTCAGTTGCAGAGTTTGTCTAAAATCTTAGACTGACTCAGAAGTAATCTGAGTGGGCCTGGGGAAAAATATCTTATGTTAAAAAACATAGTGGGGAAGATTAATCATGGGGTCACATAATTTGATGGGTGGGGGTGGGGTGAGGGAAATGGAGAGGATCTAGTATGAAAAACAATATATTACAATTTTGTAAATAATTTACTATTAAAATAATGTAAAATAGAATATATATGCATGATGGTATGAAACACAATGTAAAGGAAAGTATAAAACACAATGTATATGAATGAAATATACTGTAAAGATATTATTATATGAAAATCAATAAAAAATATTAAAACAAAAGAATACCAAGCAGACAAACATCTTAACTGTACAGAAAATTTGTTACAGGTAAGCTATGAATGATACCTTGCCAATGTATTTAATGTGTTTCTTGAGATACAATACTAAACATGTATGTATACCACTTTCTACTTCCACCTAAAAAACTGTTCTAGGGGTGGCAGAATGACAGACTGCAAACCACACTGTTCCTTGTATTTCCCACTACTAATTGACAAATGATAGGCATTCAGTATTTGTTGAAGTAAAATGAATTTTTGAAACTAGTAGGTGCAAATGAAGGGCTGTGATGGGGCCTTGAGTTTCCAAAGGACTGGGCAGATTTTGCCAACAGCTAATAAGTTTTGAGTTAAGAAAATTAGTACACTGCTATAGTACAGTTTTCCAGTCATTGCAAAACTCTCTTAACTGAGTATCTAGTGGACTGGGAATGTATAGATTCAAAATGCGATAGCAGTTGGGTAGGCTTAAATCACTTTGTCCTGTGTAATTAGAACTAAACGTTGCTTTTGGATGGATCCTGGAATAGGAGTTCAAAGTCTCAGGTTCTAGTCTTTCCTTTCTGCCCCTTAACACTTGATAATGGCTTCCACTATCCACAAAACAATAAGATTATACCTGCTGTCCTTCAGCAAAATACAGCATATGAAAAAAGAATGATTAGTGAAATGAAAATATCAGATGTTATTAAACAGTTTATCTTCTCATGAACTTGAATTATTGTTAGAGAGTAAGGATGTTATTCTTAAGTGACAAAACAAAAGCATTTTGTGGATGTTACACTGATAGCAGTTTTGTCTCAATCATGTTATATTGTATCTGTCATAAAGAATAAAAGAGCACCAGCATAAGAGGACAATGTTGGGAGAGCAAAGAAAGAGGAGCTAAGCAAAGCAGGTATTGGGAGGGAATATCACCGAATTACTGGAGACAACAAATCACAGTAGCTACGAAAATGTTCTGTCTTAAACTTTAGCCTGAACTTCAAAAGATGCCTTAAAAAAGAAAATTTAAAAACCTCATTGCCAATGGAGTAAGAACTCACAACTGATCCTCTATTGGGTTTCTAAGTCTATAAATTGCAAGGAAGGAGCCTGCCTATCTTTCTCCTTTGAGCTGCTAGTGAATTCAAACTGTGTGAAAGACTTGGCCTTTGGGTTCATAGTACAACTTCCACAGACTATACCATCACAATGCTTTGGAATGAAATTCACTTTTTTGTAAAAGACTAAGTATTGACATAATAAAGGACATCAATCCTCTACTATTTAAAAAATGATCATCTTTTCATACTACTATCAATAACTCTGGTGGCCTCGTGGTAAGGGGCTGTGTTGTCATCTCAAAGGCACGCTGTTCGTACCCACCAGCTGCTCAACAGGGAAAAAAGGGGAAATCTTCTCCTGAGTGATTAAACTTCCTCTGAAAACCCACTGGAGGGTCAGCTATGAGTTGGTTCTGAATCGAAGGTACACAACAACAACCTGGTACTACCAAAAAAACGAAAGCAACTGGGTTTCTTTAGATATTTACCTGGAATTTTAATACTATGTTGTTGCTGCTGTGTGCCATCAAGTCAGAATTGACTCATAGCCTACCCTCTAGTGAGTTTTCAGAGACTTCATACAGCAAAGAGGAGGCTGCCCAACTTTCTCCCACACTGCAGCTGGTGGATTTGATTCCTGTGCATCTATGTTGCTACAGTGACATGATAGTATAATAATAGAACAAACGAGATTATTTACCTTTTAAAACCAAGAAAGTTGGAGTAATAACAATGGCTTAAATAATCATATTTCTAGATTTTTGAAAATTAAACAATAAGCTTTTAATGTAGAGTGGGAAGAGAAGTTTCATTCCAGGAAGCTAATTCTTGGGATAAAAATATTTTCTTTTTCACGTTCTTTACCCCGATGGGCTTTGAGTTAAATAATGTGCAAATTCTTAGGCACAACAATCTTTCAAGAGGATAGTTGCAATCTAACATTTGATGCAATCCAACATTTGAAGTGCTTATCTAAACATTTATGATGCTTCCTCTACCCCATCCCCCCACTTACACTCTCTCAATCTCAGAAAAAACTATCAAGTCTTTTCTAACTATCCAACCAAAGGCTTTGAAGGGAAAGATAAAGCACTTTTCATGTTTTCCATTATTTTTTCCTCTCACCAACAGAAAGAGTGAAGATGGTGAAGAAAAGTTACCTTTAAAGTCTGACTCAAATCACTAAAACATTATGAAGCTAATAACCAGATGGCATCAACGGGACAACTGAATTGCCACGCACGTCATTAAGAACTACTGAAATAAATGGTAGCGCTGTTTCTTGACGTGGTCCAGAAGTTTAAATAGTTTTCCCAGATCTCCCTTGGGAATAAGAAAGCAGCAATTTTGCTTTTGGCTCAGATAATTCACATCCCCATCAGTCTGTAAACTACAGTGCATTCATTCCTGAAACATTCCAGTGCTTTTTACTGAGGGCTTTGTGCAAAAGAAAGATCCAAGACCACAGAACGAGTGAAAGCCACGAAACTGTCAAAGCAAAAGTTCCAGAAATCTATTCACACACAGACCTGGTCCTCTGGCAGAGGAACTTGGGAAAGTGCGCTTTCTCAGACCCGGGATGGGTCCCAGCAGAGAATACTTACTGGATCGAGCCAACTTTGCTCTCTCTTTTCCCGAGAACTTTTGCAGGCTTTGTGTCTTCCACATCTTGCTGTAGTTCAGTCATCAGGGCCGTCTCTGGAGGGCACCTTCAGACCTCCGGGCTCTGCAGTCTCTACCGGTTCTGAGCTCCCGGGTCCCGGGCGCTGGCCCAGCAGCCGCGCCGCGCCTTCCCCTGAGCCCTCCGCCCCTCGCGCCGCGCATCCAGGCCCGCGCCGGGCTGCCAACCTGGACACATTCGAGGTGGCGCTATTGGTCAGGCGGAGTCTGGAAGAGCCCGGAGTGAGGGGAAGGGGAGGGCCGAAGCGAAGTGACAGCCTCCTTCCCCAACCCAGGAGGCAGAGGAGCAGAAAAAGGAAACCTGTTTAACTAGTCTTTCTAGGAGACGAAGCTAATTGGCCAAGCAGGTGAAAACATTTGCCTAACGAGCCCCAGTATATGTAGCCTCCTGCAGGACTGGGCGGGTTTTTTGAGATTTAGGTAGCTTTTTTTTTTTTTTTTTTTTCTTGCCCTGACAGAAAGAAGGGGATTTTTTTAAAAAGAGCAGCTGGCCCTTGATACAGGAAAAGGATACCACTGAGTGAGGCTGATCTCATACAAATGCACCGTGTGGGCTGGCCTATACCCCAACCTAAATTATTCAGACAGGATATTACCTCATTGGGAACTGCCCCCTTGCTGCTTAAACAATAAGTCTGCTCAATTTTTCATGTGGAAATAACAAAGGTAAAAAGTGGTAGTTGTCATTAATGGTTTCCTGGTTAACCCTTGTTAGTCCTGTGTGAAAGAGGAACTCTTCCAAACCTTTTTAGCAACTTACTTAGCATTCAGCCAATGACATGAAAACCTCCTTAATTTCCTTTCCTTAATTTCAGGTTCGGGTTCTAGCTGAGGGTACAGGTGAAGAGTCTGTTGACTTGATTTCTGGATTTGACTGTCAATCAGTTATTAGTTCATTAACTTTTGAGAGTTATAATCTTAGAGGTCTTCTTCTAGACATTCACTTACCATGCCCTATAGCGCTATTTTGGTGGTTTTCTGATTTGTTGTGCAGTAGTGGAAAAGAATAGACATACAAAACTATATTGTTGGAACCTTAACTTGAAGGCAATTCCAACTGGCAAGATAAGAGTAGGCCTGTGGAACATTTAGTAGGAGTCCTGGGGATGCAGTGGGTAAGTGAGAAGTTACAGCTTGGCGTTTGGAACTCACAAGCAGCCCAGAGGGAGGGAGGTGTGGAAGCCCTTTCTGTGCGTCAGTGCTTTTCTGTTGTTTATGGTCACTGTGAGTCGGAGTTGACTCAATGGCAACAGGTTGTTTTGTGTTATTGTGGTTTGGCTTTTCATTTATTGCCTGCAAACTTTTGTTTTTCTTTTTACATTTATTTTAGAATTAAGAGTCATAAAGAATATGTGACCATACTTCTTGTATGTGTATGTGTGTGTGTGTGTATATATATATATGTGTATATATATATATATACATTTATCACATATGTGTAAATGTTTGCAATAGAATATATACTGTCATTCAATCAGAACCAACTCATACCTGACCCTCTAGCAGGTTTTGAGAGCAGTAATTCACATTTACTTATCTTTTTCCTGGGAAGAAGCTGATGGATTTGAACCTAGTGTCTTCAGGTTAGCAGCACAGCTCCTTACAACTAGGTTACCAGACAGAATAGGTGGGTGGTAGGTGGGTGGATGGGCGGCTGTGTGGATGGGCAAGTGGACGGATGGATGGATGGATGGAGAGTAGACAGACAGATAGATAGATACATGGATACATAAAGTGAGACCACAGGAGAGCGAGCAAGTGAGATTAGTGATTAAAATGTACCAGCCGCTCTAAGGAAGAAAAGAGCTGGCATTCTTCTATAAAGATTAGAGCCTAAGAAAGCCTACAAGGAAGTTCTGCTCTATACTACAGAGTTGCAATGAGTTAGTTGGTAATGACAGTGGTCACACAACTAAATGCTTTTAAATGAAAAGCCCAGATGGCCCAAGGATTAAATAGTTGGCTGCTAACTAAAAAGGTTAGCAGTTCCACTCCACTGGAGAAAAGGCTTGGCAATGTGCTCTGACAAAGACGACGGCCAGGAAAACAGCAATGGGTCACTCTGAGTCAGAAATCAACTTGACAGCACCTCATAACTCTTTAAGGGAGCTTCCAAAATATGGGAGATTCCAGGGATTTTCAAAATTTCTTTTCCCCCTTCATTTACTAGCTTACATTGTTAACCTGACCAAACGAAAGTATCTTTTTGTAACCTCCTTGCACTGACTCCCAAACTTGGTACTTGTGACATTTGAAAAATAAGAAAAAGGGGGGAAATTTTTACTAGCATTCCATGAACGGGTGGGCCCACTCAGCCCTCTTTAAATGTGTAAGGAAGGGCAGGTGATCAGACTGGCCCCAGCATGGGCTTAAAACACAGAGAACTCACAGACATTCTGAAAAGTGATCTTGGAAGGCCCACAGCAGTTCACTAGGGTGGAAGGGACCCACGGGAGGTGGGAGAGGTGGCAGGGAGAAAAAGCAGGTGATCCTTTCCAAGATGAGGAGGAATTCTCATTGCTCGAACTGACTCTCCACTGGGCTTCCAAGACCGTAATTTGCACAGGAGGAGATTGCCCATCTTCCCCTCCCCAGGAAAGATGGTGGATTCTAACTGCCAGATAGGCGTGGCCTTTGAATTTATAGTGCAATTCCCTACAAACTGTTGTTGATATGTACGGTGGTGGAATTGGAACTGCCTCATGGCTGACCTTCCAGTGGGATTTCAGAGGCCATCAATCTAACGAGAAGAGACTGTCCATCTTTCTCCCATGGAGAAGCTGGTGGATTCTAACTGTGTGCTTGTGGGTTGGCAGGGCAACACCTTACCAATAAGCCACCAGCGCTCCCTTCCCTACAATTTTCACCACGATTCTTTGGAATGAAGTTGACTTTCTTCCCGAAGATCTGCTGGTGGATTCAAACCACTAGAGAGTCCCTGGATTATTAGTGCAACTCCCTATGGACCACCAGAGCTCCCTAGAAAGGAATTAGAAATGAGTAAACCACATTATTTAACCAAGTAGGATTTGTTTCAATTTAAAAGATATTCTCAAGTAGCTTTCTGATTTTTTTTTCCTGGTTGATTTATTTTTAAAAAGAAATAGGCTGGTGGTACAGTGGTTAAATGCTTGGCTACTAACAAAATGATGAGTGGTTTGAATTACCTGTCAATTTGTGGCAGTCTGCTTTTGTAAAGATTTACAGCCTTTATAAAGTCCAATGTGGCAGTTCTAATCTGTCTTATAGGGTTGGAATGGATATGTTTGCAATAGGTTTATATAAATGGATATATGTAAAAAACTCTAAGTATAATTATTTCAAAGGTGGTGTTGTTGTTATGTGCTGTCAAGTCACCTGTGACTCATCGAATCATATATGACCGCTGAACTGTGCTCTAGCCTGAGACAATTCCACTATCTCTGACACACCTACTCTATTGCCCAAGTTACTGAGTCAATAGTCAATCTGTCTCACCTGGGGTCTTTCTCTCCTGCACTGTCCGTTCACCCTTCCAAGCATGATGTCCTTCTCCAAGGACTGGTCCTTCCTAGCCACATGCACAAAGTATATGAAATGGAGCTTCAAAATCCTTGCCTCCAAGGAGCAGCCTAGTGTCACCTGTCCAGGACAGAACCATTTGTTCTCTTGGCAGTCCATGGTATGTTCAATACTCTTCTCCAGCACTACAACTCAAATGCATCAATTCTTCTTTGGTTAACCCTAGTCATTGTCCAGCTCTATGATGCATAGCAAGTATTAGCAAACACCAAGGCCTGGATCAGGCACACCGTAGTCTCCAGACTGACATTGTTGCTCTTCAACACTTTGGCGAGGTCCCTGACAGCAGCTTTACCCAACACAATTTGTCTTTTGATTTTTTGACTGTTGGTGCCAAGAGTGTTGATTGTAGATCTGAGCAAGCTGAAATTATTAACAACCTCAATCTGTTTTCCATCTACCATGGGGCTGCCAATTGGTCCAGTGATGAGAATCTTTATCTTCTTGATATTGAACTTCAATCTATATTGAAGACTAAAATCCTTGACCTTGTGCAACAAACTCTTCAGGTCCCCTTCAGTTTTTGTGAACAAGGTTGTATCATCTGCATAACACAAGTTGCTGATGAGTTTTCCTCAGATCCTGATGCCACGTTCCTCCTCATAAAGTCCAGCTTCCCAAATGATCTGTTCCACATATAAATTGAAAAGATATAGAGAATGCATCCCTGACACACTCTTTTTCTGATTTTGAGCCATGCAGTGTTTCCTTGCTTTATTCTGAGGACTGCTTCCTGGTCCAGGTATAGGTTTCACATGAGCAAAATCAGTTATTTTGGGATTCCCATTCTTCTCAAGGTTAGCCACAATTTGTTGAGATCCACACAATTAAATGCCTTTGAATAGTTAATGAAACACAGATACACATTACTCTGGTATTCTTTGCTTTCAGCTAAGATCCATCTGAAATTGGTGATAATTAATGTCCCTGGTGTCACAGCCTCTTCTAAACCCAACCTGTATTTCTAGCTGTTGTTGTTGTGTGCCATCAACTCACCTGTGACTCATAGTGACCCGATGCACAGCAGCTCTGAACCCTGCTCTATTCAGACCCAAACTTACAGTATTTTTTGTAGAAGCTGATAAATCATAGAGTGTATTTTGCTGCAGTGTGACAAAGTAGAAATGCAAGAATATACTTAAAATATATTTTTAGAGGTTCTTAGACTATGTACCATTGAGGTACTTTTTCATTCACACCTTAGAGAATATAATTTCTTGTTTCTGATGTCAAAAGGAGAGCAGTTAATGTGTTTTGGTAACTGAAACAGCTGTGGTACAATATATATAAACCGAGATGTTCTCATTATAGTACAGGATAGTAAACAAACTATACTGACAACTTCTAGTTAAACTGCTTAGAGTATTGAGTAAATATTGGTCTTTTTTTAAAACTTGGTCAGAAACACTGTGGATGAGTACATAGGTTCAGGGACAGAGTTAAAAT